GAATTGAGAGCTTGTGATACCTTATAAGACTAATGAGCTTTGTTTTGGCCTAATAGCTTGTGGACCAGACCGTACCTCATCAGGTCCAAGAGATATTGGTGCCTAAATCTTCTCACAAAGAGTGAAAGCATGTGTGAGAGAGAGCACATTGTAAACTGTGGCTGTGAAATGCATCATACTGCTGTGCAAAGCTTAAAAGTTTAAAAAACCAGAGTGACTGTTCATGCTGATACAGTAATTATGAAAAATGTGATCATGTATTACTGAAATTTATGAATCTTAGTTTTGTTGTATCCATTTAAGTTTTGCATAGAATTGTCACTAACTTCTACTTCCTGTATTTCATAGCCCATTTATTTATTTGGCATTGTGTACAAATGCATTTCCTTTATACCTGTGTCTGTTTCATAACTTGCTTGTTTTCATGGTATTACAAGACACTTGATTCCTGCAATATAGGTTGAATGAAGGGATAAATGGCTACAGTGTGCAGTTCTTTGAGCTTTATAGCTGAGTAGGGATTTGAACCTGCCTGTTGTGTCCCTAATCTGTGCTCCATCTTTTGCATAATGATTTTTGATGTGCAAAGAAATGAAATACTTTCGTCAAATATTTCCAAAGTCATAGGGAAAATAATCTGGTGTGAGGGAAATAGAAGAAGGAAAATACTGTGTGCTCATATGGCAACATCCAGATGGGACTCCAGGGGGCAGTCTGGGTCTTGCCAGTCCTGCTAGATAAGAAATCCAGCTTCTCCTTATTACCTCCCATTACCTTTGAACCCAGGCAGGTTTATTCTTTTATCAAGTGTCTTCTTCTCTGAGTGCTTCTTTTTATTATGCTGTCTGGCGTTCTACTTCCAGGAGCCTTTTTTTAATTGAAGCAAAAGTGTCAAATATGGTACATTTCAATTCCTTTGTTTAAAATGGTGTTTTACAACAAGAGGTAATTGCTCCGGAGGGTGGTACAAGGGACAGGTGTATGAATAAGCATATGTCATAGTTCTTGCTATAAAATACAGTAAGCCTATTGTACAGTATTTTTCAGTAAAATGTTTGGAAATGGATCCCCTTTCTTCATACAGTAACAACTTTTAGTTGAATTTGTACCTTATTCTATGGCTAAAACTTAGGCTATAGAATATATGCTACTTCTTTTCAGAGGCACACAAATTCAGGTGTGTGTGGAGATGGATAGACACCCATAACAGGAAAACATGTATATACATGTTAATCTTGCTTAAACTCCCTCTGTTCCATCTCAGATTTTTGTCATGGGTAGCGTTCAACCTGTCTTCTTTAGTTCATCCTATTTGCCTCTCCTGCCAAAACTGACCCTTAACCTAGTCTTGGCCTCATCCCTTCAGGCTGCTGCATTCCCATAGGGCAGATAATGTTACATTTCCTCCCTGCTTTCTGTTCCAGGAAGCGACAGAGAGAAGAAGAAATAGAGGCTCAAGAGAAAGCCAAGCGTGAACGAGAGTGGCAGAAAAACTTTGAGGTTTGTTCATTTATTCAATACACTTTGGGGGTGTCTGTGCTTAATCTTAAAAGGGCATTTATTTATCTTATAAATACATATAAAGGGCATTAATTTATTTGATAAATTTATTTGTTTTTAACCAAGTGAGTCTTGCATGAATTAAAGTGCTAGGGATCATGCTATAAGGCTAGTAAGAGAAGAGTGTTCTCTAAATATACCCATTTGTTTTTACGAAAGTGCACAGTTTAGTTCTAGGGCTAGTTCAGCACTCCCCAGAAATTCTTCAAATATCTCTCAGAAATTCTTGAAACATGGGAAGATTTTGTTGCATCTTCTACTCTTATTGATGTCACTAAAATCAGCCCTGTGATGGCAGGAGGGTGTTTGCATCTGAAGACTTGATGCTGCCTGATTTGTCAGCAATTACACAAGGCCTCGGGCAGGTGTCTTTTCCTGCCGTCCTGCTGGACCGGGCTATTTACTGCTGATGCCACAGATTGAAACTAGAACCTTTTGTTGCACTTGCTTTGTCATTTAACTTTGGCTCTGCCCGACACTTCTTTGTTGTGTTTGTCTGTTGAGTATATTGAACTAGATTTTGGAAATGGAACCTACAAAAACTGCTTTTTCCAGAGTCAGCCCATGGGTTTCCCTAACTTAGTTCTATTTCTTCTTTCTAAAGTCTTGCACATATTTATTTATTGGATTTTTATCCCATTGTGTGTTAGCCAGTAAGGCTCCTGAGTGGGGTACAACGCTAAAAAATGCACAATAAAAATACTATTAAAATGACAATAGAACAATAATATCCATCAATCCAAAGCAACACCATTATAAAATTTCACAGAACCACAGTTTTTCCCCAAGGACAACATAAAAGGCTATAAGATGACAGAGGAACATGTTGCAAAATACATAGAGATTAGTGGGCTTATGCTTTTGCACAAAACCCAGAAAGTGGCATTTTGCATCTAGTATATATGGGGCTTCTTTTATTCTGCAATCCCTGTCTTTGGTGAAAATAAAATATGTCATCAGATTGTTTTTTCTGTCTTTCAAGAGGACTTCTGGCAATCTAAGCTCCTTGGACTTCTCAGAGACTATTTCCTGTTGGATACAGACAGGAAATGAAAGCTCTAGTTTCATAGTTGAACTTAACTGTTTCCCTCCTCATCTTCCTCATGTCTAGGAGAGTCGGGATGGACGTGTAGACAGCTGGAGGAACTTCCAAACAAAAGCAAAAGGGAAGAAAGAAAAGAAAAACAGGACCTTTTTGAGGCCCCCCAAAGTGAAGATGGAACAGCGTGAATGAGTCTGGCTCTTCCAGGCTCCAGTGGACACTCCCGTATTGCCACAGCTAACCCCTTCTTGCTTTTCCAGTAGGATCTTTGTTTTCAGTATGATCAAATCTTGGTCAAGTATTTTCTGTCCTCTGCCCGTTTGCCTGAGGTTCATGGTGTGATGTTGAGGGCCAAACCTACTGCTCTTAGAACCCTTGGCTAATTTAGGAAGATACCACCATCGCATTTACTTGTAGTCCCTGTAATTTAATGTTCTGTGTACCAAGGATTTGCTGTTCAGATCACCATCGGGTCTCCAAAAGTGTTCAGCTCCAGATCAGGTGCTGAAAATGGGGCCAGGTGACTTCCCTGCTCATCTAGACCAGTTGTCAAGCTTTCATCTGCATCGATTTTCACTTACCGATAGTGAGAATTGAAGCCTGGAACGAAGATAAGTAGTTGGACTTCACAGTTGAAGTTCGCAACACAACTGCATGGAGCTGAAATCATCCCCTGGCTCTGATTCACAACTGGGTTCCAGGATTGCAGATGAGTGACTGGCCAGTCAGATTACCAGTTCCAGCTCCATCTTTGTAAATAAACAAATCACACTGAGTACTCTATTAGTGGCAATGTTCCGTATTGTAAAATAAATTTTTACCCAAACCTTTTTGGTGGTGGCTCTTGGTGGCTCAGTCGTTTGTAATTGTCAGTCCAGCCTGTATCTTGGCACATCAGTATTCCATTGTGAAAAACTGCAGTTTTAAACTGTTATCTGCAATATCTATGAAACTAGCAAGAATTGTAAACCTGGTGGAAGGATGGTTCTGCAACCTAATTCTCAAATGTGAAGTGTGTATTTGGAGCTGCTCCCCAAATCAGTAAGGCCTTACAGAGCTTAACACTTAGCTTGCTTAAACCCTGATTTCTTGGTCTTTCTGCTGCTGGCTGTTGGTTTCAGTGGCAAATGACACTCCGGTACGAAGCCAGCAATGAAGTGCTAGGGGCTATTTATAATTAGCTTCAATGTCTAAGTGGAATTTGTACACTTGGGGTGTGTCTGACTTTGCCCTGGAACCTAACAGCTGGCTCAGCTGTTCACAAACCTATGTACAACTGTGAAGGAAGGTTTTCTTAAACCAGGTGTAGAAAATTTTTGGAAGACTAACATGTGACTCACCACTTCCTCTTAGACTCTTGTTTCAGTCATCTGTGCTTCATTTTCTGCTAATCCAGACAAACCACTTGGATGCTCTGACCCACATAAATGCTGCATGATTAGGCACTGCTAATGTTTGCCTTCCCTGTTGCTTCATACTACTCCTGAGTGCAGTCATGAGGTTTAGCATGACTCTTGTTGCATACAGTTTTTTTAATGGCTGCATTCCAGCCACACCCTTCTCTTATAGTACTACTTCAAGAACGCTTTCTGGAGCATCGGTTAGGCTGCTCTCTCGCAGGCCAATCAAAAAGGTGCTGAGTTGCCTATTTTGCTTGTATTTGAGTAACTGAATGAGCTGGAGAAAACATTCCCAAGAACATAAGGACCATACTTGTACATGGAAGGCCTATTGTGTCCAATATCCTCTTTGAACAGATGGTTATGGAGAGCCTTTGACATGACTATGGAAGTTTACAACCTTCAACCAGTTTTTCATGCTCAAGTGGGAAGGTTTAGGGGCTACCTGGGCATGAGGGAATACTTGGTGTATTTGTGCATTCACGTACCTGGTCCGCTTCAGCTGTACATGTTTTGCAAACACCTATATAGGGCTAGTGCTTCTCCAGTAGTAAAAACAAACCTCTAAAACAGCCTGGAGCCTTCCAAACATGTGGTCCAATACTGCCCTTTGTCTTTAAGGAACTGTGGAGCTGAAGCCTGAGCTTCAATGTTCAAGCCTACATCAAGGACATATATTGCAGATACCCACATACTAATTCAGTATCTGCATTTGACTTTAAGATTTTAAAAGGTTTAAGATTTTAAAAGATTGAAAATATCAATCTTCAAAGTATAAGTGATGTGAATAGCTATATGCAGGTAAATATCCCAAAAGCGTCTCCAGGTTTCTGGATGTTCAAGGAGCCAAAAGTGTTGAATGCATGCAGTGGCATTTTGGGAAGCAACTGAACTGAAAATAGCTACAATTCCGGTTGTCTTGCACAGCCTGGGCTGTTAAACACAATGTAAAATGCTTCATATCTTTCATACAAACCTATCCTCAATTGGTTTGGATTGACTTAGCATGCAGTGGCGTCTCTGAATGCGTGGAAATGGTAAGAGATGGGCATATGCACATATGTGGGCATATTATGAACATGCCTTACACCAGTTGAAGCCACCAGCTTGTTGAAGAGCTGCAGTGCAGTGGCTGAGCATATATTTTAACAGGTGGAAGGCCCCCAGTTCAGTGTCTGGAATCTCCAGGTGAAAGGAGCTGGTAGCAGATTAGGGGAAAGAACTTTGTTTAAGGACCTGGAGAGCTTGGACAAAAATACCTGGTGGCCGTTTAGGGCAGCATTCTTGAGTCTTCCCTCCATCATGGCTTCTGCAAGGGGCAGTACTTGTATAGGGTCTCCAGTGAAAGGCTCTCCAGAACCTACACAGTCAATGCCAGGGGGTAGACTTTCCTGTCCATGTCACTTTCAGTGCCACATGTTTCTTGAGCCTGCTTCTTACCTGCAATACATTCAGGTATTGGGAATTTGACATTCCCATATGTGATAGTACTGAATCTAAAGAGGTTCTGTGATTCCCAAACCTGAAGAATGTTTTCCTGCTGTTGCATTTACTGTATGTTCGCTTCCCCCCTCCTCTCCTCTGGAGTTTCCTTCACAGCTCTTATATCGCTCCTGTCCCATTTTTCCCCCTTGCCTTACCTTGTTCTGTGGCATTTCATCTCTAGCCTGAGGCCTATTTTCTTCCTCTTTTGCAATTCTGCTTGAGTCACACTCCACAACTTGGGGAATTCAGAAGGTGTGCCCAATTGTTTGTCTCTTCCTAGCTATGGGGAAGTAAGCTCTTGTGTTCTCTTGTGTTCTCTGCTGTCAGCAAGCTGGTAAGAGCTCGCAAGCTGAGCCATTTTAAAATCACTTCAGCAGTAACCTGTACTGGAAGGCACAAGGTTGGGAAAGGGTCTTGTGGTGTCCAAGGCTCTGGAAATGATTTAGACCTTTTTCATACCCCCACTTCTTTCCCCTCCTGCTACCTCATATTTTTAGAAATGTGTGTTTGTAATATTTTTGTCCATGATAGACATGTGTATGCAGAACATAAGTGAAGGCAAAACTGACATCTTCAAAGGCAGATGCTCCTCCAGAAGGTAATTTAAACTGCTTTTCAGATTGAAGCCCTTCAACGCTTTCTCAAAGAAGGTTGTATTGAGACAGACCTTTGGCTCAGCTAGCCCAGTACTGTCAACCTGGACTGGCAGTAGCTCTCCAGAGCTTTAGGCAGACATTTCTTCTTACCTGGAGAAGTCAGGGATTGACCGTGGAACATTCTGCAAGCAGAGCAGAGGATCTGTCACTGAGGTGTGGTTTCCCCCAGATGAACAGTGGATGTTCCAAGAATGTTAGAACCCGAGGAACCTGCCTTACACTGATCCAGGCCATGGGTCCACCTATCCCAGTGTTACCAACACTGACCAGCAAGAGTTCTCCGGCATTCTGCACAGGGTTGTTTCCTAGTTCTACCTGGAGAGGACCTTCCGTCATAATGCTGCAGCTGGTTCCAAGTCACTTATTTCTACTGATTTTTCAAGTTCCATGCAAATAAGGACCTCATGAAGAAATGTTCTTGCACTCAAAATGGCATTTAGGACTATTCCTTGCTAGACTTCCTGCTTACCTAAACAGCAACAAGTGTGTGAGCTCAAGGCTCCACATACAGGCACAAAACCATTGTTGGAGCCCCCAAACCTATTTACTGGCTGGAAGAAGCTTGTGTCTCTGTAGTGGTATTCTGGAATATCTATGTGTGAGGGGCATCACATTTTGATTATTTAGACTACTTATTGTTGTTTTTGTTATCAGCTCCTCTCATCTCTTTTCTATTGTTTTCTATTGTTTTCTCCTATCATTCCTGCTTGTTTGCCTTCCTTGTGTCTCCTGTGTTTCATTTACTCGATGGGCTACACCAGGGGTCCATGTGACAGAACAAGGCCCGGAGATGCGTGCTAAGTGCTGAATCCCAGGGAGAGAAACTCTACCTTGTAGCATCAGGCCATCAAAACTGCTTACACTGAGAATATTTTTAACCTCTTCCCCACTCCTTCAATTTGTCAAGGCTTGCCATAGAGATGTAATTGCCATCTCTGATCACACTCTGAACGTAATTGTTTTCTCCACCCAAACAAGTCATTTTTAGGCAAGGCATGTTAACAAGTAAGGATGTCAGTGATAATGAGGGACTAGTCCTCTGGAAACTGGAGACCCAGTTCGGCATCATCCTGCAAAGCAAGTGTGCTACCTCTTAGCTGGATCTTTCCTCTCCCCTCCCTTTGCACGGAGGGATGTGACCTTCTCCAGACTGTGATTGAGCATAATTCAAAAGCACAAAGAGCTTCCCAAGCAGGTTTGCTCTGCTATCGAGAAAACATTGGTTGTCCTAAACATCAAACCGATCTGCCTAATAAAGGAAGGGGCACCCAGACGTCTTTTCCCAGAACTGCAGGTAATGTGTACAAAACTACAAAAGAGATCTTTTCAAGCAAGTATCACACAAAGATTGTAGCATGCACAGAACACCTATGGATTTTAGAAGGTAGCAACACCAGTGGGATGAACGTTTATACAGGCATTTTAGATTGTATAAAAGTCCAAAGCCCCTCACTGGAGAACGATACAGGAGCCATCTCCTATGCCCAGTGGCTTTAAGCATCAAGCCTATGGGGTGCATTGGTTTAGCAGTCTGAGTTTATGAGCTGGAAGCTGCCAGGGAAAGTCAGCTGGACAAATTAGACATCTTATGCTAAGCCATGGTGTTTCAGCCTCTCCTCTGCAATTTGACCAGAGCACTCCTGGCATCATAGGTCTGTTGTAAGGCTAACGATGAGGAATGCTTATTGAGAAAACATGCTCCCCACCCCCAAGCACAATGACCGTGTAACCCACCCTCTTTACTCTGCTGTCCTGTTTGATGGAAACATCCTGCAGTGAGAAATAAACCCAGGCTATTTGCTGAAAAATACTGTCTCCATCTCATCTGCAGCGCTCGTGTTCCCCAAGGACATGGTGAGGACACCGTCTCGTGTTACCTTAGGAACTTTCTGCCCTAGCCGAAAAAAGATGCACCGTTCATGCACAGGTTAACCCATTTCTTTGGAAACCCCACAGAGATTGCACAAGGATGCTGACGAGCGCGCATGTGAGCAACTTGCAAAATCACAATCTTGTAGCAGGAAAAGCAGCCCCAGCCCACAACATGCTCCCTTCTGTCGAACTTCTGCAATCTACAAATAGCATGTGAGGTTGGAAAAGAAGCCAAGAAGCATGTAGCGCTACCCCCTCTCTGTTGTTCATGTAGATTTCCACTCATAGTTTGGAAGGGCAGGCGATCTCCTCCCTCTCCATACTGGGCTTTCTGTGCAGCCATTTCTCCAAGAAATTCAGAGCTGGGCAACGTCAGTTCCAGGTTTTCTAGAGCTCCAGGGCAAGTTGCTTCA